GAGCAAGTGTAGACATAGCCTAATTTTTTGTGCATGTATCACTCTGTTGCACTGTTTTACTTATCATTGATACTGTTAGCTTGCTAGTTTTTGTTGAGTGATTTTGCCTAATATACTATCTCTCTGTTTGTAAAGCTTTATTGCACCTTTCTTTTTCCCTCTAGCCTCATACTACTATTTATTCTCTATCTTGGGCTAACGTCTTCAAATTTTAGATGATTTTAAAGATATTCTAAGGTGTAGACGGTTGAACATGACATTATTTATTTATTTTTTATCGTATTTCTTTATGTTGGAGGTAATCGTTGGAAGCTGTCTCCTTACCTTCGGTAGCTTTGGCAGGAGTTGCCTACTTCTCATCTCCCTATTAGCTCATTTCTATGGGATTTGGTTAGTGTTAGCCTGTTAGGCTATGTTTGACAGATAAGCTGAATAGCTAGCTGTTAGCTGAAAAGCTAGCTAATAGTTGAACTGTTAGCTGAAAAGCTAGCTATTAGCTTATAAGCTACCTCACAAAAAATAACGTTTTGTAAAAACTAACTGATAAGCTAGTTGGAAGATATAAAATGACATAAATGACATTTAGAAAAATATGTTTTTTATAATTAATTAATTAAGGATATATTCGGAATTTTTTTAAAAAGCTCCTAAAAAAAGCTAGTTTATCAGCTACTTTTTGGTTTGCCAAACATGACAATTTAAAAAATCTTGAAAAATAAGCTAACTCATCGGTTAGCTGTGGCATGCCAAACACAACTTTAGTGTTAGTGTTATACAAGAAACGTAGAGTTTGATCCCAAAAATGTGTATTGTTGCTGCAAAACTGTATTGACACTTTGGTCTATTGTTATTGTTATGAATTACAGAGAAAATGAAAAGCTCGTTGATCACCATCCAAATTTTACTTTGGTGTTGGAACAGTGTTAGGTTATTGTAAAGTGCAAAATTAAATTATAATATTTATTATAATATTTTCATTAACATAATATTGAAATATTTTCATTTCATTTTCATATTTGTTCAAAAGAAGCTATGCTAGAAGTCAATGCTGACATTAATAGTGTTTACATTGAATTCTCAACTGTTGTAAATGTATTACCAATTAAAGTGATGGGAAAACAAAAGTTGAAGAAAGTTGACCTGATACATAATTTTTTTGTTTAATTATGAAAGTATTGAATATATTGAATAAATTACTATGAAATAACGAAACAGATGAGTGAATATCTCGTTATATGTTCAAATATCAAATATGGTTCATATACGCTACTTAAATTTAATACAAATTAACAGGTATTCTTCTCGGTTTGTTTAGTCAACCGCTTTTATGTAGTGGTTTTTGATATTTCAAGGTCAAAGTGTTAATATTGAACATAAAGAAATTTGAAAGTTTTGTTTTGTTTTGTTTTTTTTTTTTTTTTTTTTACTTCCTTTTTCCTTTTTTGCTTAGAAACACATGTGAGAAAGCCTTTTATTATTATTTTTTCCTTTTGCAGGTTTTCTTCTTTTAAGTTATTTTCTTGTTTTCCTTCTCAAAAAACATGTTTTTCGTGAAAAAACAGAAACATAGGAGTAATAGAAGCGTTTCCTTCAAAAACAGAAAAAGATGAATATTTATAAAGCCGCACACAGGTGGACCATGGTCAGAAACAGCAGCAGAATAATTTAAAAACTGCCATTCTGTTCTACACTTTATTACAGAAACAGGGGAAAGAAAAAAATAAATATCCGGTGTCTTTTTTCTTTTAGATCTCGACAGAAAGAATAATAAAAAAGAAATTGCCGTTCCTTTAAACCACTGGAATTTGTACACCCTTCAGAAACAGAATTTATAAAGCAGAAATTTGTAAACGGGACAGATTCTTTCTAGGAGGGGCAGTTTTCTGAGGAATTAAATATTATTATATGTTGTTAGTTTTAAATAAAAATATATAATAAAAAAAATTGGGCCCTGTGCCCTCCCTCAACGCCTCCATGCTTTCTAGGTTCGTTTCCATTAAAAACTTTTGTTTTAAGATTGTACAAACATATAATGGATAAGCAAAAACAAAGAAAGAAATGAAACTAAGGTATGTGTTTAACACAATTTTATTAAAACAAATTTGTTTCGTTTGTTTATTAGGACAAAATAGCAGGAATGGTTTTTCAAGACAAAGTGGGTCCGAAAGTAGTTTGATTATTGGTATTCTTATTTGTGTCTATTGTTTTAATAATAAGTTTACATACCACATCTCAACATGTTTATTAATTGATAGTATTTAATTAGTTAATATGAATATGATGTTAATTTCATTGATAAGACTGGTTAATTTCTTTATTAATTATATTTAATGCTTGTTATTCAACTTTTAACCTAATATACATAGTTCAAATATGTTATATAATATAAACATTATAATGCTACAAAATATATCTAAAGAATTCAAATATGATGTTAAATGTAAGATCTAAATCGAAATAGATATCCAAATATATAATTTTATAATAATATTATGAAAATTTCCAAAGAATTAGGTTTATAAGTTTATTAAAAACCATAACGGTTAAAAATAACATAAAATTATAATTTACATTACGTTACCTTAAAAATATTTATTGATATTTAAAATAATCATCGTGGTCAAAGTTAATAAATGACCAAATAAGTCATTTAAAATTAATTAATCATTAATAATAATTCAAAATTTATATTGACAAAACTGCAAAAATGGTCCCTGTGGTATGCATTTTTTCTGGGTTTAGTCCAAACCCCGATTTTTTTTGGTTTCGTGGTCTTTTTGAGCATGTTTGTATGTGGAAAAGGTCCCCTGACTTAACATCCGTTAGATTGCTTCTGTTAACCCCCTCATGTGCCCCCCACGTGAGGGCAAATCCGTCTTTTCGCATTTGGGGACCATTTTTGCAAAGAAAACAAAAATGTATACCTAACATGCTGAATTCGATAATGGAGGAGATTGGGTATAGATCACTGTTATCACATTACTGATTCCACCTGTAGTTCCTAAATATCATCGGTTTGTAATTTCTTTGTTATGCTTTTCGTAAATGATGCAAAATTATCATTGTTGTCTAATTTGATGCAACTAAAGACTTATGTGTTTAATCGTTCATTTCGTGGCTTTAGAAGGCAATGCTTTGCTTCATTATTCAAATCCATTTCCACCTCTTACACTCCCACTACCAGGTATCCATGATCGCAATTGCGTTAGTTGCTCCATTGATAATCCTTATTTATAGTATATTGAATTCACACCCATATGTGAATTCATTGTTAACTTAGGCCAATTCCATACCAAGAACCCAATTTATCCTCATTCATTTCATCGAACACTTGGTGGGAATTTAGAAACTTGAAAATTTGTAGGCACTGCGGGTCTTCATCATCACATCAAATATAAGCTTGAAAAGCTATTTTGTGTTTCAATTCAATCTCCAAATCTTCTTCTGTAATACATATTACAGTGAGAATGCAATACATATTCAGGAAAAAATCAAAGAATCCTTGCTGATCGAAAGGCTTTTGTGGTCTTTTATTTAATCTTTCTGTGAATAATGCATTCAGTTCATCGAAGAACATGAATAATCAGGTGTTTTCTCGATCCAATGTCTCCTATCCCTGATTCAAGATTTGAAATTTAGACCACAAAATTTGAAATCGAACATCTAAATATATCTTATTTGGGGTTCTTAAGATCAGTTCCAATAACAACAAGTAATTTGAAAGATTTGTATTAGGAAAATCGAGAAAAGCTTATTGTACCTTATGCCGATTAATGAGGTTTTTCCTTTGCATTTACACCGATCAGGAGTACTTCTGTACACAACCTCCCCCATCACCGAATTCAACATGTTACTCAAATGGGATATTCAACATGTCACAATCTTCTTCCCCTATTCTCGTTTGTTTATGTTATCATCTTCTCAGATCTCACCACCCACACATCTTCGTCATCACAGCCCATCGCCATTGTCACCATCATCTCATGACCTGCAAAATCAGTTTTGAAGAGAAGATACAAAGAAAAGGGAGATGGGTGGAACGCGCATCTGGGTGATTGGGTACATAGGTAAAAAGCATTCGTAAATGGTTGGCTAAAGAAACATCGTAGAAAGCTAAGCAGATAGTGATTTGCAGATTAGGGAGGAGTAATAGTGACGGTCTGCTTTGTTTCAACATTTGTGATGTTAATTTTATTCATCACAGGGGAACATTCATTTATCGGACCCATGGCTTAGCGATTTCAAAAACAACTATGAATTTCGACTTTAACGTATATCCTTGTCTCTGTTGCTTCGATTAGGTTTTTGAATTAGGAATGAGGTTTTTTTTTTTGCAGGTTTAATGGGGCAGAAGGAAGAAGAGGGAGGTGGGGAGTTGACGAGTGTTTGGGAATGTAAATGAGGGATAAAGCGTTGACTTTCTTATGCAAAAATGGTCCCTATATGTAAAAATACGGAAATACCCTCACGTGGAAGGCACATGAGGGGGTTAACGGATTGTTTTTAACGGGAGTTAACTACAGGGACTATTTTCACAAACAAACCAGTCCAAAAGGACCACGAAACCAAAAAAGTCGGGGTTTGGACTAAAACCCAAAAAAAATGCATACCACAGGGACTATTTTTGCAATTTTTTCATTTATATTTAACTTTAGTCGACCATTGGAATAACGTGGTTCTAATATATATTTATTTATCTTATAATTCAAAAAATTACAATCAGTATAAAAATTATTTCGTTAAATAATAACAATGAAATAAACATTTTTAACGACAAATATTTATCAGTCTTTTGATTACGTGCACAACCCGATGACATGACATTCATCTAGTTACATATATATAAGAGAATCCCTCTCATCCCCTTTCCATTTCACCTCTCTCCCCCTGCATGTGTGATCCCTATAAATACCAAACCGAACTATGGAGGGAGATGCATATGTCTAAGGAGTATCCACATAAGTATCTCAAACACTCCACTTGATTAAATGAGGAAGAACATGAATCTCACGCCTTCTCCATTACTCAACAAGCATAAAGAAATACGGCTATGGCCTTCCTGCAAGCACCCAAAAACACTCTCTTTCCGAGCCACCACCACAGATGATCATGATTTGGTGTTTATAGATCCTAAGGAGTTGTTGCCTGAGGCAGAAGTCGAGCTGACAATGCCTGGTTACTACTTCAGTAACTCATCAGAATCCGCCACTGCCAGCATGTCGACTGAATCCGAAACATACTTTGACAACAACGAGTCCTCCTCCGTGGAGATAATCGTACGTGGGGTCAAGTCTGAAAGGTTGTTTTTTAAACCTGATACAACAAGTGCGATACTTGAAACTCAAGGAAGTGGTAGGCAACGTACGCTTGTAGATATTGATGGTGGTGTTTTTCCGTATAAAGAGAGTGTGGCAATGGTGATGGAATCGGAGGATCCGTATGGGGATTTTAAGAAGTCGATGGAGGAGATGATGGAGAGCCTTGATTTGAAAGATTGGGATTGTTTGGAGGAGTTGATGGGGTGGTATTTGAGAATGAATGGGAAGAACAATCATGAGTTCATTGTTGGAGCTTTTGTTGATTTGCTTGCTGGGATTTCTGGTGGTGATGATTCCTGCTCCGATCATTCTATAGCTTCTTTCAATTCAGCCGCTTCCACTTTTTCTTCTCCCATCTCATCTCCCTTATATCAAGTTGGTAGAGAGAAGATCATCGAGCAAGGAAAAATGGTAACTAAATAAGTCTTATAACTTTTATTTACTTCTTCAATATTATATACCAAGTAATGACACATTTACTACACCTAAATTGCCATGCATGTCTTCGGTTTTATAATTTTTTTAGTTAATTAATGTTTTCTTTGGAATGGGAAGCTATATTAACTAAAAAACCTATCCAGGGTAAGTGGTACCACGCCAAGGTATAGGTTCCAATTGACCTTTTTACCTTATATATCTAATCCACTCAAAAGCAAAATGTTGAACATCATTAATAATAAATACATTGTGGTTTATAATCACCGTTTTTAAAGATAATAAGCCGGTTCCTACAATTCCCCAAAACCTAGGTAAAATACCTCACGACCATGTCAAAGAATATGATGCATGTTGTTTAGCAGATTGCTTTATTCTGCCCTTTGAACAAGCTGTCCAGATTGGGACTTAATGTGGGAAAGGCATTACAACACTTGTGCAACTCCGCACGCACCTCCAGAGCAATTTTGCAAGCTGAAAAGAAAGTGAAATTCAGTTTCTTCATGCTCATTACAAAAGGGACAAAACATCGATACATTCTGGATTCCACTTTTGATAAGGTTGCTTCTAGTGAGTCTACCTAGATTCATACTATAAAAGGAGACACATACCTTTGATAATTAACTTTACATGAACGGAATGATATGTTATCTTAGGTTGGTTAAATTGTTGCTAATATTATCGCCAATTCTTTTGACATACTAAGTTTAATTATATGAACACATGATTTCTATTTGACAATATAAATTCATTTGATCAAACTTGACACCTAACCTTGTTTGAGTAGACATTCGGTAATGAGAGAACTTATGGTTATGCAAAAATCAAATTATATAAGACCTTATAAAAAAAAATCTTGGTTTGGCTTTTATCAATATCAAACAGGCTCTATATCTTTCAGAGGTCTTATGTGAAAACCAACTTGAGACCCTATAAAAAAGTTTCTAGTAGAATGTTATTAAGTAAATTATCTACCATTAAATTCAAAACACAAAGTTAATAACAAACATCTCGTAAATTCCTTACATGATGACATATCTTATTAATCCTCGTCAATTAGTTTTCCAAGCCTAGGGCGAGATACTAAAATGATGCCCTATGTTAGTAAGGCACCATAGGCCAAACATATATGTAAAAAGAAATCATAAATAAAAGTGCAATAAAGTTTATATTTAAACAAACTCCATTTTAGTAGAAACAAAAACCTAAAAAAAAAAAATACTGAAATTAAATCACCTAAAATGCTATCTTTGTAAGTGCATTGCTATAATAGATAAAAAAACAAAGTATATATGTTGCCCATATTGGTAGCAAGAGCAAAGTAGTTGCTATTCATAATAATTTTCTCAAGATGAGTTAACCTCCTTCAGCAGCTTCTTGAGCTAATCTTATCCATGATCGAGCATATTCCGCCACTATAGCTTTCATATGGCCAACTTAAAAACCAAATTTAGATAAGGAAAATAAAAAACATTTATGACAACTGTATTATTGTTGATAACTCATCTTGATCCCATTTTCGAATGATGTGGCACATTCGTCTACTTTCAACATGCATAAAAATTTGATCTTTTTAGCATAATTTTATCTTCTTTACCTTGAAAAAGGAAAGAATTAAACAAGTGATTTTACCTCCTTGAATAACCTTTAAAAAGGAAAGAGTTAAACAAGTGATTTCACCTTTCATTTAGGCATAAAGATAATTAGCAAGTAGAAATGGAGATAGAATGGTTAAAAAGCCTCGCCATAAGTTTATAAAGAGCTTTAAAATATGTAAATGGGACTTATAGCAAGGTAGCACAACATCTATATGCTTTGTTTTCCAGTTTTCTCGCTTGAGTTTCTCGCTGCTATCATGTTTCTGCCTTTCGTTATGCAACGTCGCTTTGTTTATTAGAAAACACCGATGCACATATATAATAATTAAAAAAGTACGAACTTAATTTTATGGCCCTATATATTTGATGACGGCTGACGACGCAGCCCAAGTTGCCCATGCTTTGTCCGATCTTGCTTATTATATTTTATAGGACCATTTAGTAAACTATTTAGTATAAGGGTGTCTGGATATCTAGAATTGTAGAGGCTCACTATATCCTAGTGACAATCGATATCATTTAAGTTGACTATGTTTTCATCTATATTCTATACAAGACATAGTCTCGACATTCACAATTCAACTTCTCTTTTTCTAGGAATATCTTCCACGACTTCATTAACTTCATCCACATTCAGTGTTCCTTCTTCGCTATGTTTCTTCTCCTTAGATTGAAAATTATCAAAATTTATAGTATTATCTTTGAATGCATTTTGTTCCACTTGAACCGATTCTTCATTACGATAACATTCTAGAACTTGTTTCACAATAAATCAATTGATATCTCATTTTTAACTATGCATAAATTATTCTTCTTTTTGTTTTCCCTTACGTTTAGAACAACACAATTCAAAATTTCTAGGTAGATACATCTTCTTTTTAATAAAAAAATCAGTGTTAATAATGACATATATTAGTAATAAATTTAACGTAATTAGGGAATTTGGATAGATGTTTCTGTTAACTAGAATATAAAAAAGCGCGCGCGCAAACACACACACACACACACACATATATATATATATATATATATATATATATATATATATATCAAATTTAAATATTACATTTATTTGCTTGTATTATTTGTTTAGTTATATATGTTTTTTTTGAACGACAACTTGACTGGTTAGGTGTTAGTGTTAATATTCCAATTCTTGTTAGCACCAATGATCCCCTATACTAAGAGGCAAAGCCTCTACCAATTGGGCTATTTTGAATTGGTTTATTGTTAGAATTACTTTAATTGCAATTGTCAGTTGACATTTAATTTTGAACAGTTGAACATGAAATGTTGTAGTGATATTCTGTACGATTATGTCTTGACTCTTGTCGCTGCCGCAAAATTGAAATCATGAACGTGATGCACTGAAACGAAAATATGTAATGCTAATATTCTTTTTCCTTGTTGTATACTTAATTTGATCCTAAAGCCCAAATTCAATTTTAAAATTTTGAGTTATCTTTGGACCTTTAGTGTAGTGGACGTGTAATGTCTTTATGTTGATTTCTAAATTTTAATTGATATTAAATATTTATAGAACCTAATATTTATTGTAAATAAAACATGAATTAGATTAACATGCAACTATTCTTTAATTAATATTTATTTCTTCTAAATTTTAGTAATCAAATATCCAAACTAAGGCCCTTTATGATTGGAGGCCCTACGATTTATGATTAGAGGCCCGACGGCATCACCTACACCAATGATTAATATACTCATAGTATGCATATGCATGAGCCCTATACATAACACTGTTTGTTACCTTAAGTACCTTCGCTCCATGCCCAACACTGTTTGTTAACTTTAGCACCTTAGCTCCATGCCAACAACTATTCCTCATACATATCATAAACTCTAAAACAAAATTCCTACTAAGAATACAAAACAAAATTATTAATACAATTTATATTTATATATGCATATGTTTATTTATTCGAATATTTTGAAATCTTAAAACACAATTTTAACGACTTCAAGAGAACAATAAAGCATACAAGCATACATACATGCATACACCCCTATTAAAATCCATTTGTAAGAAAGAAAAGGATACATTCATGTATAGTTCCTAATTTCCTATGGAATGTTGTTTGTTTTCCGGATAAACTAACTTCAAATTTTCTTTGTTATTATATAACTTGATAGATATGGATATGGGAGATGTTTCACAAAATAGCTCTTGAGTTCACCAAATTAAATAAGAAGGTCATCCCAAGGATCCTACAGTGGAAAAGGGTGATAGACATCAGTTGGGAGTCTTGTATGTCATTTATACATGGATATGAGGTATTTTCGATATATTTAATTAACCAAATGTCATAATTATTATTCTTCTAAACAATTGTTATCTTAATTTTTAGGAAGTTTATAAACATTTACGGCCCCGACTTACACCAAACAATGTCGAGCACTCTACTATATGGTGGATAGAAAGCTCCCCTTTTTCTAATGGTGTTCAAGATAAACAGGCCAAAAGGACACCAAAGAAGATGGCTCGTATTGGTGTCCCCTCATCCTCATCAATGCACAAGCAGATTAGACCAATACCGTTTGCCGCCACCATTATGGGTACATATGAGGAGAGGTTAACAAAGATCGAGGCTACAATCCAAGGGACTACAGACTTGTCAGAACATGATTGCGAACGATATGGTGCAGATTAAGAAAGAAATGTCCAACGGTTTCACACAAATTAGACAACAACTTACTCTTATGAGAGCTATTGTGCCATGTGTGATGGATAAGTTTGTTGATGGTGATGAATTTATTGATAAGATGGAGGGGGATGAGAAGAAGCATGCAGATGAGGAAGCAAAGTCTACTCATACAGTATGTGTAGTGATAACTCTTCATTATATGCGAATAAGTTTTTTTATAATGCTAATATGTTGGCATGCAGGTCGTGCAGAATAAGGAAGATGAGAAGGAGGCATATATAAAGGTCGCCATGTTTAAGGGTGTAGATAAAAAGGTTGTTGGCATACATGATGGGTCAAATGATGAATGTGGGAACAATAAGGATGACAAAGTTGACATATTTGAGGATGTAGAAAAAAAGAAGGTATTTTGTTTACTATTTTTTTCCGTTGTCTGAGCAATCAATAATATTATGTTTTGTCATTTAGGATAGATCTATTGTCGATAAGGGGCCAATGTATAAGATACCAAAAAATATGGATCACAATAAGCATAAAAAACGCCCAAGAGCCTATTTCAAATCTTCATATATGAGTATCCCTTCGACTTCACGAGAACCACTCCGTCCTCCACATTTCAAAATAGATGCATTACAGTCTGAAGAAATATTTGCTTTATATGATAAAAGGGATGAAGAAGCACTTTCTTTTACATATAGAGGCGAATATGTGGGGTATCCTTGGGGCATTGATTTCTGGAAGCATATTTTCTGCCATAATGATCCAATTGAAGAACGTGGTTGGCTAGAAACTTCGGTAAATAATCTTACATGCTTTAAATTGAAAAATATAATAAAATGGATCCATGACTGATTAAACTTTTTCCCTCTTTAAATAGCATATCGATATGTGGAGTCTTTTACTATTAGATACAAAGCTCCCCGAGGAAAGATGGACGATTATGCCCATCCATTTTATGGCCTTTTTTGACAAGAAGTCATTGATCCCTTTTGCAAATGGGTCTAAGCCTCCGTATGTAGATTGGGCTAATGTTGATTTGGTAAGTATATTTTCTTATTCATAAAGTTTGTTATATTAATGTAGATTTCTAAGATTTAATTTCCACATCATTGCACAGGTGTTGTTTCCTATCAATATTAACAATTGTCATTGGTTGACGGGAGGTATGGACCTGAGGACATGGACTTTAACACTTTATGATAGTTCAATTTCAGAAGTATCTAATGAGATAATATTGGAAAACCTACTAGCTTTCAAAGAGAATTTCAATGACTTCTTAAAGTTAATAGATTATTGGACAAATACTGGACGAGAGTCCACCCACATGAATTTGAATATTCAATTTGCCAAAGGTGTACCCCAGCAAGTAAATGGAAGTGATTGCGGGGTTTTTGTTTGCATGTGGTTAGAGGCTCTAAGTAGTGGTAAAGAGTTGAACATAAAAACAGATGATGTAGCGGCCGAATGTATGGAATATCGTAGGCGTATGGCACGGATTATCTGGGCACGTCGTGACTAGTGACGATGTAATAGACATTTGCATCTTAATTTAATAAAGAAAATTAAAATTCAATTAAATTTATAATACGTACATGTTACATTAATTAACCATATAGTAATTAACTTTATTTCTATAACTGCGAAAACCGTAACAAATATAATGCTTTTTCGCCATTAATAAATCATTGTTTATTTTTTTTCAATATGTTGGAACTTTCGGAGAAGTCCAAAAGTTTTAATATTGGCATTAGATATCCATTTTCCACAAGTTTTATTTCTTTATTAAAATCAATAATCATTTCTTCTTCTATTTTAGATATCTACCACCGGACAAGGGCATTGGTATTATTAAATCAACGACATATCTGTGGGTGAAAAACAGAGGAAAAATTAATCTGCTGGACTGGGCAACATGGTCTCAATGCAGTTGCGAGTCTAGAATAGAAAACCACATGGTTCACTAATTTTTCTATATATATTTTTCTATGTAAATTCAAAGATTTTTATTAGTAAGGTAGGTCCTAAATATTTTTTAAGGTAGGTCGCTGAAAATTTTCTATAGAAATTTTAGATAAATTAAAAAAATTAGATGGATACTAGGACCCACCTTCCTTACACGTAGCCTCACCACTGTCTCAATGCCCATTGTCTTACTGACTATGTCAATTTCGTTTAGCTTCCTTGTATTTTCTTTTTTTATGCTGGACTTTTGTAAGCCACTAATTGTGGCTGGTTATTTTTCTTGTGGTTATTAATACATATCTTATTGGTCGGTTGGGTAAATAGAATAAAAAACACTCCGTTTACACCAAAATTCTAATTTGACACCGTATTTTTTTTTGTCTCAAATTTGACACTGTGTTTTTCAATTTGTTACAATTCTGACCACTTGACCGGTTAACCAGGTTACATGCTGACGTGGCATGATGACGTGTCAGTTTTGATGATGTAGCATTCTGACGTGTCAAAATTGAATTTTTTTCCACAAAAAACACTAAGTTTTCACTTTTTTTTTTCGATTTTGACACTAAGTTTAATTTTTTCTTTCAAATTTGACACTATGTTTTTTTGTTCCAAATCGAACATCATTTTTTCAATTTTGTTTCAATTTTGACCATTTCCTTTGAAACCGTATAAATATACTTTTTTATTACATTTTAAACCGTATAAATATATTTTTTTTTTTTTAAAAACCACATTTTTATTTAAATACAAGGTGTTTTTTTTTTTTTTTTTACATTCAAAGTATAATGTAGAAATATGCATTAGTTATATCATGAGAATCAAACTAACCATAAACTTCTAATAAGATGTGAAAATTTCAGGGATTGCAAACTTGACATCCGGGTTTTAATCGACTACACGCCTCCAAACCTACAAACTCATTTTAAAGTTGCGTATTTAATAATAAAATACGGTTTTTATATAACTAATACATATTTATACATAAAATTATGGTTTGAATGTAAAAAAAAAAAAAACTTGTATTTATACAAAACTATGGTTTTTAATTGAAATGGAAAATGGTCAAAATTGAACAAAATTGGAAAAAATAAACGTAGTGTCAAAATTGAAAGAAAAAATTAAACTTAGTGTCAAAATCGAAAAAAAGTGAAAATTTACTGTTTTTTGTGGAAAAAAAATTCAATTTTGACACGTTAGCATATCATGTCAGCATGCCACATCATCAAAACTGACAGGTCATCATGCCACGTCAGCATGTAACCTGGTTAACCGGTCAAATGGTCAGAATTGTAACAAATTGGAAAACAGAGTGTCAAATTTGAGACAAAAAAAAACACGGTGTCAAATTAGATATTTGGTGTAAACGGAGTGTTTTTTATGCTATTTACCCTTGGCCGGTTCCAAAAAAAACCACCACAAGGTGTGGATGTACAGTTTCCCAACATTGCTCTTCTGGATTCTTCATGGTTTTGCATAGCTTCAAAAGTATAATCGGACATCTTAAGAGGATATGGTCCCACATAATAAAAGTCTGAATGTCTCTACCGAGATTAGAAAATGTATTAAGCATGGAATAATGACATTCTTCATCTTTTCAACGATACCCACCACCTTTGGAGGTATCCATGGAGCTTCCATATTCTGTCCCTTACTCAGAATTCTGGAATGACATAACATACATTTTTTCCTGAACAATAACACTCAGAATAAAAGTAAATAGATATAGGATAGTTATTAGTACTTTGTTAAGCTTACGCATCAACCACTTATAATTTACAATATTGTAAATTAATTTCTCTAGTATACACTTAAGTTAGCTTATGAATCCTTCTAACTGGATTTTATGAAAAACAGTTTGATTAAAAGTCAAAGTGCTTAAACATTTTGAAAAAATGACTTAAAGATAGAATATTAGTAAAACTTTCTTGATGGTTAGTTAGTAAAAAGTGTGCTTCAAAAGTTGTAAGGTGAAAATTTTGATAGGAGGGATATGATGCATTAAGACCGGTAGGTGCACCCTTATATCACATGCTGTGGTGGTGATGTGAACACGACATCGACCGTGAGTTGGTAGTGCGGTAAGCGCCAAGAACCTTTGTCTCGCCATTATTTAACCATTGAGATTTTTGGCCGTTAAAACGGTTATATTATGATTTTTTTTTCAAAATTAACACTATATATATATATATTATATAATATATATATATATATATATAATATATATATCTATATAATATATATTACAACACATTCAATTATATTTACCTTACTACATCATTCAACTACAAAACCTCTCACACATTTGTTCCCCAAAAATGAATCCAAACAATCCTCAATTTATCGCTCGAAACAAATCGCGTGCAAATGTTCGTCCTTGGTTTACCGACCGCAACTTGATCCATCTATGATTTTGCCCCCGACCCTAACCCCAACAATTTTACTACCAACAAACACCACACCAATATTACACGATGAAAAAGGTCGCTAATACATCGAGAATCGGAAGAGATGATGACATTCAAAAGGTCGCTAATAATTACGAGATTTATAATTTGAATTTTGGAATTTTGAATTTTGAAAATGAGAAATTGGAGGAGGAAAAAAAAGCTCGAAAGGAAAAGCAAAAAACTCATGATATGAAATTTTTAACGAAACCTATCGATCAACTCTCCAGAAATGAAGATTGATATGGTTTTTTAGGGTGATAGAGCTAGAATCATGAAAAAATATTACAATTAGTCGGATAATATTAATTTAATTATCGTTTTTAGCTATCTAATCGATTTTAATTAAATTAGTGAGATATTTTTTTATTAATTTTCTATAATTATATTTAATTAAATTAAAAAAATAAAAAATAAAAAAAGGTAAAGTATCGACTATTTTACGAAGTGACAAAAAAAATAAAGTGGTATACTAAAAATATTGTAAGACAGTCACTGTCTAAGCGAACAACTAATTTTACATACCACTAGCATTAATTACACATAAGAGAGTCCCTACCAGCCCCATTAATACCAGACCGAACTATGGAGGACAGCACTTATGTCTGAGGAGTATTCACTCAAGTATTTCAAACACTTCACTTGACTAAATGGGGAAGAACATGAATCTCATCCCTTCTCTGTTGTTACTCAACAAGCACAAAGAAATATGGCTATGGCCTTCCTGCAAGCAGCCAAAAACCCTGTCTTTCCGAGCGACCACAGATGATTCGGTGTTTATAGATCCTACGGAGTCGTTGGCTGAGGCAGAAGTTGAGCTGACAACGCTTGGTTCCTACTTCACGAACTCATCAGAATCTGCCAGCATGTCGACGGAGTCAGAAAAGTACTTTGAGAATAATGAGTGCTCCTCCATGGAGACGGTTGTACGTGGGGTAAAGTCTGAACGGTTGTTTTTTGAACCCGATCCCACAAGTTCGATACTCGAAACTCAAGGGAGTGGTAGGCAATGTACGCCTGTAGATATTGGTGTTAGTGATGGTCGTGTTTTGCCATATAAAGAGAGTGTGGCGATGGTGATGGAATCTGAGAATCCTTACGGGGATTTTAAGAAGTCGATGAAGGAGATGGTGGAGACTCATGATTTGAAAGATTGGGATTGTTTGGAGGAGTTGTTGGGATGGTATTTGAGAACGAATGGGAAGAACAATCATGAGTTCATTGTTGGAGCTTTTGTTGATTTGCTTGCTGGGATTTCTGGTGATTGTGTTTCCTGTTCTGATCATTCTATAGTTTCTTTCACTTCAGCTGCTTCCACATTTTCTTCTCCCATCTCATCTCCTTTATATCAAGTTGGTAGAGAGAAGATCGTCGAGGAAGGAAAAATGGTAACTAAATAAGTTTTTTTTTTTTTTTTTTTTTTGAATTAAATATCTCACTTTCTTTCTTCAATATTATATATATATATAGTACTAAGTAATGACACTTTTGTACACCTGAATTGCCAGGTCTTTGGCTTTATAAAATTTTATTATTCAATCAATGTTACTGCTAGGAGTAATTGCACTTTTGGAACTTGAAGGAGATACTAGTTAATTAAATTACATCGTAAACTTTACTGAACTATGATAAGTTTAAGTTATAACTTATAACACTTTCCTTAGATTCGGTTGTTGCTAATATTGTCAACTTTTTTGACATACTAAGTTTATGTGATGCACGTAAACATGATATTTTGTATCTTATATTATAAACTAGTTGGATCAAACTTGACACGTAACCTTGTTTAAAGAAAACCTTTGGTAATGAGAGACGTTAGTGTTATAATAGATATAATGCATAAATGCTTCACTTCAGGTTCGACTTAATATTGAGAATACTGATTATACTTTTTACCGTAATATATATGCCCAAAAGAACAGGAAAAAGATTCTTCTCAACTTGCACATAACTTCAAGAAACCTGGATTTCAAAGCTCAGAATTATCTCCTGGAATATATATAGGAATATTGTGGAATTTATCAATATATATTAATTCATATTATGCACGAGACCTGGATATCACAATGTTTATATAATTTTGAATTATTTATTTGTAAGTTGTAGCAAAAACCAAATTGTAGTGATGAGACGAAATCTATGTCATTGCTTCAATGGTTGTTTTTTAAACTGGAAAAAGTAACAACACCAAACATCAGATAGCTGTTGAGCCCGTTCAGCTGGTTCAAATTTGTTATACAATCTAAAGATATGACGTCGAATTATATATTTTAGGTTAACCCGTAAATAAATGCCTAGGAATAACGGCAATTAATTAAAATGATTTACTCATATTAATGAATAAAAGGCAAGTAAATGACATCATTTTAATGTGATACCGAATATCCAAATTTGGGTTATGTTCGACAAATTTTCTTGCAAAAGTTAGAACGATTTTAGCAATGCCAATTGCCAAATTAATGAAAGGAAAAGGAAAATCAAAACATCGTCCATGTGCCAACCTCAATTGAGAGGAACTGATGAAAGAAGGCCACTTAAATGAAATGGAATTAATTTAGGTACAATTCAAGTCACATGTGTTGAGTAAAAAAAGGCAAACATTAAAAACGAAGGGTGAGCATTGATTGATACCTACAAATTACTAGCATCGTGTTCTTCTACGAAAATATTGTGTCTTACTTTTTCTATACAAACACCCCTCTTATATTTTTTAGGTAAAATAAATTAATTCTTTTACATTGAATTGAAATTATTTTTCAACATGTTATTATGAATATTGTTGATGCATGATCTAAATTTCCCCGTAGGGTTGTTATGAGATTGTTTCCCTTTCCTAGTTATTAGGATTTGGAAATTAAGTTACCATCTATTTAGCGGACTAGGTTGGTGCCTCTCACGCCTAGCTAATGATTGATGATTCAAATCCCACTTTAGATGAAATATGTAGATTTAAGAGTAATATAGAGGTGTGTTATCTTTTCTAAAAATAAATTATTATTAGTTATTAGCTTTATATTATAATTCTTGTTACTAGCATATATATAGGTGGTTACAACTTTACCCTATCCACCGATTCATAACTCATTTATACACTTAATCGATTTTAATATAACAAGTTGTGTACCTTGTGGTTTTTTTTTCTTTCAAGGGTTTCCACCCAATCATTTTCATATTTTTTTTCTCTTTTGTTTATGCCACTTCCTGACTACCACATTGGACATATAATGTTATATACAATATAATGAGAAAACTTACTTGAATTGAAAGTTGAAGAATCACAACTACATATGCACACATGTAAGAATTGGTCTCACGAACCACCTAGATAACAATCAAAGGTTAAACTTTAGTCTACACATTAACTTCCTCAACGTTTGACCAAAAATCAAATTAGTCAAAAAGTCAATGGTCAGACGTGTCACGACCCTTGACCAAACGCACCATGCTACACTTCATAACAAAATAGTCGTATTTGGTCCAGAAGATGCGTCGTGACACTCATCAGGCGCATCACTCCCCCAACGTCTTAACAACTTCTTTCTAAACCTATTCATATGTAAAGATAAAGGCTAATACTTTCAAATCCAGATCAAATAAGTGTCTTAATGGATAAACTTTCAAACTTTATCTATCCACATGCCATAAATAAGCCAAAACCAAAACCCTACATCCAAAATGAGTCCAAAAGTTCAAAAATCAACTTGCATGGGACAAGGGGACTCATTCAAGCATTTAAATCACAACAAAAAGTTCAGAAAGCATAACTACATCAGATATTAAGAAGGGCAAAGCTTGAATGTACATTCGCATTGGCAACCTGTTTATACATATACTCTGAAATAAGATAAATGAAATTTGAATGTAAAACATTGGTAATTGTCACAGATAAATGAAATGTTGTTTTATAAAAATGAAAAACTTTGTTATGAAAATTGGGACTTACATGCCCCCAACAGAAATCCATATTCTTCTTTGTCAACTGAGTGAGATGAACAACAATCTTGGAGAAATGGATGAACCTCCAATAGTAACCTCCCAACTCAAGAAAACTCTTAGTCTCAGATGGGGACTTCGGGACCTCCCATTGCATAACTGCCTCAATCTTGGCTGGGTCGACCAAAATTCCGTTCTGATTGACGAGGTGTCCCAAGAACTAGACCTCTCGTAACCAGAACTCATACTTAGAGAACTTGGCATACCGTCTCTCCTTCCTTAACACTCCAAGTAACTCTCGTAGGTGCTCCTCATGTTGATCCCTGGTTTTAGAGTAGACCAAGATATTGTCAATGAAAACAATGAACGATCGATCACGAATCGATCTGCACACCCGATTTATCAAATCTATAAATATTGCAAGTGCATTGGTGAGCCCAAACAACATCACCACAAACTCATAAAGACCATATCGAGTTCAGAATGATGTCTTCTCCAAATCCTCCAATCTAACCCTCATCTGATGGTACCCCTACTGGATTAAGTGTCTAAGGTCCTAAATAAATTGGTATAATGCTGATGAATAAAAGTAAAGTTCCTTTTGGGTTGCCCTCATAACCAGGAAATGGCTTGGATTGACCAAAGGAGAAAGATAAATTGATTTGTTAATATATTATGTGATTAATATATTAATTAGAAATAATTAATTGATGATTTGTTAATTTATTATATGAATAATAAATTAATTAGAAATAGTCAGAATTGATTAATTATTAATCTGAAATAATCTGGAGTTAATTTGGGATTAATTGTAATTAATTAAAGGTGCAAGGGGTGAATTGTAATTGTTCAATAGTTGAACAAAAGAAACAATTCTAGAACCTACCATCATATGGACGGTTTTGGGAGCTCTTTAGGGTTTTTAAAAGCCTCCTTATGATATATAAGGAAATAATTTGAATTGTGATTAAATCTATTATTTAATCATTCAAATCTTGGTTTGTCCCTAAGTTGTCTAAACTATAAATAGGACCCTTAGGGACCAAGATTTCGTGGCTTTCTTATTCCTAAAGGGGGTGAACAAAATTCTCCTCCTCTTTCCCCTCTCTCCTTCAATCCTAGGGTTTCTTGCATTTTTGGATGTGAACCATTAGAGGCTTGCACACTTTCGGAGCAAGGTTTTCCAAGGAGACTACAAGATTTTGATTAGCTTGATTGGGATCTACAAAATGTATTTGTTCTTGAACATGAATTTTGATTCATAGGGTTTAGTTCGTGTATTTCATAAGTATATTTCTATTATATTTGAAAAGATATAAATCCAATTTAGGTTACGTGTACCATTAAGTGTTAAGTGAAATTCTGCAAGTACATTGTTATTGTAACATAGAATTTCCATCAACCCCAACCTCAAATCAATATTGGAGAACCAAGTTGCACCCTGAAACTGATTGAAAAGATCATCAATCCTAGGAAGTGGATAACGGTTCTTCAACTTCAACGGTGAGAACCATCCTTCTTCTTTACAAATAAAATCGACTCTCCCCAGGGTGAACTGCTCGGTCGGATAAACTGCTTGCCCAACAACTCATGGAGCTGAGAGGACAACTCCTGCATCTATGGTGGTGCGAGGTGGTACAATGCCTTGGCGACCGGGGACACACTTGGGATCAGATCGATCTTAAACTCCACTTGCCTCATGGGAGGCACACCTAGTAATTCCTCAGGAAAAACATCTAGAAACTCCCTAACCACTGGGACATCCGCAACCGACTTCTTCCCCTCAACTCGAGTCTCAACCACATACGCGAGATAACCCGAACATCCGAACAAAAATCTGGAACAATACTGGTACCCTCGCCATAAATGGTTAGTTCTCCCCTACTTGTGGTTCGAACCACCACAAGCTGTCTCTTGCAATCAATCACGACTCCAAACCCGCTTAACCAATCCATCCTACGACCACACACACATCCCCCATAGCGATGGGAATTTGATCAATCGGGTGGGGAACCCTAAATATTTCCAAAGTATAATCACAAAAACGCTCGAAGCAGAAACCTTGTGTTTGTTGGTGATGGAAACTCGCAACGGATAATCCAGCACTCCAAGGGTCATATCAAAATCCCTAAAGACTGAGATACAAAAGACTGTCTCGCACCCGAGTAAAAAAGCACAATAGCAAGCAAGGAATTCACTAAGAAGGTACCTATCAGGAACATAACATAAGCATAAACAAATTTATATTGACAGAATAATAATAAATGAATACATACGGCGCCACCTTGGCCTCCTCAGCAGTAAGCTAAAACGTGCAACCCTTGGCCCTCGGGGCCTCATCCCCCCCTGACGGGCATCCATGATTTGAAAGGTAGTTGGAGCTGGTGCATGTACTGGTCTAGCAGCGAGAAAGGGACAGCTGGCCTTCACATGGCCAACCTGATCACAGTCATAACAAATCTTTGTGTTTGGTGGTGGAGCCTGCTGATGACATTCCCTCGCGTAATGGCCCTCTCGCCATAATTGCGTCACACAGTCACTGATCGACACACTCCCTCATGCATCTTCTCGCACTTGCCACATGTGCGACCCTTCTGGCCTCTAGATCATGAATCGGCGGGTTTGAACCGCTTCGCTGCTGGCTGTGTCTGACCTGGGATCTATCTCTTCTCTCTCAGTTGGGTTTCAATCTCAATCTCTCTTCCGAGCGAATAATTTCTGCTCGGAGAGGTAACCGTATTGTTGAGTCGATACAAATTCCATGATCGCAGTCTTGAGCATGCTCAAGTGGCATGAAATTTGGACCTTCTCCGAAGCAACATACTCGGGGTAGAAAAGGGTTCTCTCAATAAACATCTTGGTGATTTTGTCACTGATTCAGTCGTCTGCTTCAACGACTGATACTGCTGGGTTAACGTCTCCCTCTTGACTAATAGAACATACTCAGTGAAAACTATCTCCATGAACTGCTCCCAAGTCAATACGGCCTTCTCCACAAGAGAATAAGCACTGGTCACCAGCTTCCACCAATCCTTCCCCCCCAAGCGTAGAAGGTTCAAGGCGAACTTGAC